CCGATTATGTTCTCTGTTGATTTTTATGAAAATTAATCTTTACACCTCACGCCAGACTACTAAAAAAATCTTTAGTAAAGCCTGTCAAATTGAACCTGATATTTTTTTTTGTCTATAATTCCGCTCAACTAATTTTCTAAAGCCGGTCAACAATGCAAGCAAGCCTTCCAAATGATGTAGCAAGTAGCATATAACTGAACATGATGGTCTCAAAGAGGATACTTATATTATACGAACCCGACCCATGTGCCGAGTTTCGCTAAGTCAAATGTATGGGATGCAAATAAAGCGAACCTACTAGGGATATCACGCATAATGTTTGTTCTTCTAGGTTTAAATCATGGTGGAGAAGGTATCTAGACTGGCTTACTCGAGCCGAAGAGGGTCAGCGTACCGGTAGCATTGCTTTCCGGCTTAGCTTGTGGTGCTCCCCGGCTAAAATATGTGTGACTAAAATCCTTCACCGGGTGACAAATACCTCGGCTATCTCAAAGAAAGTGGGCTATGTCAAGCAAATGCCCAATTTAAATTCAAGAAGACACATAGGGGGTGCGTGAGAAGACAATTTATAATGTACAGTTCAACAATATCAAAGCGGTAAAAAGCAAACAAGTAGCACAATAGGCCCAAAAAAAAATCATAGTATATACAAAATTAATAAAGCCAAATAAAAGTCAACATGTACAAGCTCGAATTCTGGTTGTCCCCGGTATGACATTGTGATCCTTGAGAAATATTCAGATAGGAGTTGGGATAGTAAAGGTACCGTATGAGTGTTACAGAAATAAAAAAGAGTCCCACTGGGAAAACAGTCAAAATATTAGTTCAGAAGCAACCCTACAAGCACAAGGGTGTGGAAATAAGTAACTACATATAATTATAGACGGGAAAGAACATCAAAAATTCCGTCAAATATACGATGTGATAAGCTTGTAACTTTACAAGAGCCAGAAGGTCTCCCTAAGTACTACAACGAAAGACTAGTAGAGGAAATAAGGAAGAAGGCTTCAACCTAAGCACAGTGACCGTAAAGAGAAAATGGTCTTGTAACAACAGTCTCTCTATAACATTGTATGCACTCCATGAGAAAGTGGCACTTACAGTGGCTAAGGAATGGGAAGAAAAATCAAAAGTAATATTCGAGATCATATGAGTTGCATGAAAATTTCGGCATGCGTTAGAACTAAAATAAGCTAAGTATGCATGCAACAAGTGAAAGAAAGATCCAGTGAAAGATGAGATGGAACGAAAGGAATTACAAGAGTTAGTTACGTTATGAACGCACTAAAAATTTCGGAGTATTATCCATGCAGCATATATATTGACATTCATACAGCCGTAGAAGACTCTGGTATAAGTTAAAAGAAATAATTGAGCCTAGGGCATAGAAAAAGGATTGAATTGTTAGAATATTGTATCATGGATATTCCATAGCGCCCATGAAAGGCTAAAGTAATAACTAATATCAGGAGCCGCAGATCGGAAGATAGCTTAAACTTACATAAAGGTTGATCAGAGGGAAGAGGAAATATATAGTACAAGCAAGTTGAAGGATGGTTGCGAGTAGTATAGATAGATATGTTTCCCAAGCTAAATAATGGTAAAGCGCCAGGGTTTTAAGAAGACAGGAGTAAGGATAAGAAAAGGTGACTGAGAAGGTGATGAGAATGGATAAGTTCTCGGGATTAAGCCCATGAAAACAAGAGAGTTGATGGATTCTTTAAGTTATAGAAAACTCAGCATAGCCTGAACGAACTCAATGGAGTCTAAGACTATTAGCATTTAGGAGAGATGGAATACTTCCTTGGTAGTAGAATGAGGGTGTAATTGTGATAAACAAAGGATGACATTTGGTCCTTCGATTGAGTAATGATTTGATGAATTCTACAGGATTAAAATACCCACATAAGTGAATCACATTGGGATGCTATAAAATACGGTTATTGAAGTACAGTATCACCGCTAAGTGGATCAGGAAAACCACTTCAAATATTCCTCGATGCAACGCAAGCCCTAGTCTTACTAGGTAAGCGTTGATTTACGTACTCATGCTGCACTTCTGCACTAAATGTGCAGAATCTGATAGGTTTATTTGGTGACCATCTTGGCGCGTAGGTGCACCTGTTGAGGAGACTTTATGTGAGCTGTATCCCAGGCTATGCATCGCAGTTCACGGAGTCTCCATCGTACTATTTATTTTCTCCTGTCTTATTTACATTCTAGACAGATGTTGTATTATTATTGTACTCCTTAGTAAATGCTCATGCACTCATGGCACCGGGTTTTGGGGTTATACTAGTTGATGCTCACTGTTTCGTATGTTGTTATCTCCTTTCATTTCTTTTATAACTACAAATATTGTACGTTCCCGTGGATTTAAAAGTGTAAATCTCTTTCCTTATTGAAATCTATGATTTCGAAAGTAATAAAATGAGTAATTATATTAATAAATCACTGTTTGCTTGCCTGACGGCGGCATTAGGCGCCATCACGACCTATAGTAGATTTTGGATCGTGACAGTAACCATCTCATAGATGCATCTTATGTGGTATACATGACAGGTGAATAGGCCCATATTCACCTTTGATATTTTCAGCATTCATGAGACTCAATCCCAATTTTAGTTGGTCTATTAATTAATGAGAACAAGCAACATAAGAGAATTCGTAAAGAACTTTCTAGTTCTTTAATATTTACCCATGTGAATTCTCTTTTATTTTTGCATATCATACTTAAATTAATATGGCTAAACCAATTATACCAATTGGATAAATTATCAATATTGATAAACTTCAGGTTTACACCATGACGTGTGCAATTATCAATAAACTCCAAGTTTATTATGATATGGGTTTTTATATATCAATAAACATCCAGTTTACTGTGTCATGTAATTTCACCATACTTTATTTATGTAGTAAATATCAGGCAAGAAAGGGGGTAATTTTTATATACATATTACCCTGCTAAAGTTGTAGTAATATAAAGATATTAAATCTTCTCATTATTTATAGTCTCAATATAACCAACCGCTTTCGCGAATACTTTAGAAACTCAATAAGTTTCTTTGAGACTTACTACAACACAATGCCTTATTGATAATCAATTTTATTCCTCAAAAATAGTAATAATTGTCTCTTCTAGAGCTCTAAATTAATTTTGTACTACCATATATTCATCAACATCCATATGGTAATTTTCTCTCTCAAAGAGAAAGTTGTACCATTATGGTCATGGGCAAAATTATATACAAGATCTATTTATTGCATTACTGTTGTCCTTTAATAATCACATTGCCAAAATATTTTAGCGTACAACAGGTACGTGACCAATAATCATTCATGTCATAATAATGACATTATTTTATTATTTCCTCTCAAACCTCTGTCTAGAGGTGAGTATGATATATTCACTACCACTAGCACGTTTATATTCTTTCAAGAATGAATATGTATTCATAAATCATATGTTGTCACATTCACACCATGAATGGACCATAATCATTTATATGTGCTTTACAAAATCTCATGTCAAATCAATGACAAACATTATTTTTACAGAGTGAAAGGTTATTTTGAGAATCCTTATTGTTCTCATTACCATAATGATGACGATCATAATTTCTTCTATTGCCATGTCCACATCCATTGATAACTTCACGGTAATAATTTTGTCTTCTTTTAGACTTATTATATATTACTACCACATTCTCTTAAGGGAATGAGAAAGAAGCAAATTCAATGGGACGGGTTTTCAATTTTTGTGCTCACAATCATACATGAATTTGATCATGGCAAGACAGAGAAATTTTACCACTTCGAGTGGTTATAATTTCTTACAAATTCTATTAGAGTTATAATCAAACTTTGTTGTCTTTGCTTGTATTTAAAATCAAATTATTAAATTTTAAGAATTTAGAAGAGAAAAATAAGGTAAACTACTTAACTTCAATCCAGAATTTATTCCTGAAGGAAGTTCATGGAATAATTGATAATCATTATGCTCAATATTATATACATGTTGAGCACCATGCACGTATTCCAAATCCTGGTGACCAAAGAAGATGCCTCTACTCAATTGGTTAGAGTCTTCTGCTGATAGTGTGCTATAAAACATAAAAAAAGAAGAGTATTGCAGAGAAAAGTAGAGAGACATAATTTTTATTGATTTGGGATGATTTACAATGGAATAGAACCCCTCTATTTATAGGAAAAAAGTGACTTAGCCACCAAGTAACAAACCCTAAAATCTCTCTAAAATATAGACATTCACCTTAAATATAATTCTATTTATAATACTATTGAACTGGATAAGATTTATTGAACATTAATTTTGACCCTCCCTTTTAAAAATTAAATTATTTATGCTTATTAATCAGCAATAAATCTAGTAAAATATTTTAAAATCAATAATACCTATTTTCTTAAAATATAAATAATATAATACTTATTAATAATTAAAAATATTAAATTAATGGTAATTTAGTATTAAATATTTACAAATTATATCACTCCTGTTATTTTAAATTAAATTTCATATCTTAACAAATAAGTTTTACAATTAACTTAATAAATTAGTCTTTAATTTACAACTATACTACCTTTATTACTTTAATTAGCCAAATTTAGTTTTTTTACAGATGAAGTATTATAATTAATTTTAATAACTAATTAATTACAATAATTAGTAATATATTTAATGATTATATTTTATTGCATTTAATTAAAATTAATTATATTTAATTAAATTAATCTTTTAAGGGGGTTAAAAGCTTAAAAGGCTGCAATTTCAATTGACTAATTAAATACAATGTGACCACATTTTAAATCAAGTACCATATGTTTTGGACAAAATCATAAGCCCAACACACCCTTTGAATCGATCCAGACCCACTCCTTCATCCAAGCTGGTGGTCCATGCCATCTCCTCTAAACCAATGGCATCGCGACATTTCATCGCTCCCCAACACTCACATAAGAAACACAAATTGTGCAACTTAAACTCATATGTTCTCTCTTCGTCCTTCAAATCCAGAGCATGCATGAACATTATCTTCAACTTCATCATCTTTATTTGATGTCCAGAGGTCAAACGCAGTGACCTCTAGACATTAGGTTGGACTAGCGGTCCGTTGGCTTCAACGGTCTTCTTCCTCCATCCTCGTGCCCAGGTAAAAGTCTCTGTTGTTTTCCCCTCTGTTCTTTTCTGATTTCATCGTGTTGCTATCATCATCCATCATTCATCACTTTCCACTATCTATTTTGAACCAATCGGAACCCTAAGGCTTGAAGGACACTATAAATACGATCTTAAATGCTCTCACCTAACAGACACCAACATACATCAATACACACTTAATACTACTGATCCATACACTGAAAGAATTAATAGTTCAAGTCTTAAGTTCCAGCAGTTCTTTTCTAATTTCTCTTTTCTTCTTTTTATTTTCTGTTCGAGTGCAATCTAATGTGAGTTGATCGTAGTAAGTTTGGATACCTTAGACAACTGTTAGCATCTGCTTGGTTGCTGCTCCACAAAAGGTCAGTGTGGACTGACCTTCTCTCTTTAGTTTTCCCTAAAATTAGTTATGTGACTCTGTGTTTATGCCGTTTATACTGACAAACATCTACAGGGCAAGATAATGCGTGGTTTTTCATTATGTGTTGCTATTTATGTCATTTTGTTTCTGTTCTAAGAATGATAATGTTTCTTAGTAATTATATTGCCTTATATTGTTATTTGATCTGTAATATTGGACCTTAACTCGCATGGTTTAGCTAATATGATTCAGCACTATCCCAATGAATAGATCATGTTAAGTCTTCATACATTAAGACTTATGTTAATACTATGTGTGTTCCATCTCTGTTAAGTTAAATGATAGCTATCACACTAACTAAACCGACTAGGTCATGGTCTTATGTTTTCTCTAATATTCTGTCAAACTTCACATCTGCTGCACTATGCCATGTTGATTCTCATGTTTGTGATATTGTGTCACATTGTTTTAATTCAATAAAGAGTGGTTCTTAATTTATGTTTTCTATTTGATCTGTCTACCTAATGATCTTTATTGACATTCTTGTTGCTAAAATCATGCTTGTTTCTGTACACTTAGTGACTCATGTAAGTCTATCACTATGACTTGAAATCATGAACCTGAATCTGCTCACTTGCTGTGTTTGATTTGCCATGTCCCTCTGCTACCTCATGACTATGAACTATGTGGTAGTGGCTATTCAAAACCTTTACTGTTGTGATGGTTGAATGACTCTTGCTTGTGCCCATGTTCATCGTGTTAATTCTGCTAATTCAGTGATGTTTATGAAGCCATCCTATACCCTTAGCTTGAGAAATTGTGTGCTTGGATCATTGTGTTGCCTTCTATGATTTATACTTGCATTAGTATGCAATCTTGACCCTCCACAGTATTATGTTATACTCAAATTGTCACGACCCGAAATTCAACTAGTCAAGATGGCACCTAACCCCAACCCGCTAGGTAAGCCAATTAACAACAATCCGATTCAATGAGAGTTACTGATAAATGGAATGATAATATAACTGAATTTCTATACAAAGAATTCCCAAGGCTGGTAGTACAAATTATGATCTTCTAAGATTTAGAATTTACAAAGCTGGAATGAAATAAATACATCATCTGTTTGAAATATACATGAACAAAATAATAATCCTAAAGCTACCAAGAATAATAGGCAGCTAGGAACGGAACGCAGGATGAAATGCAGGTACATCTTCAATGCCAGCTCCCACCTTATACAGCAACATCAACATCCAAAATCTGCATGCAAGGTGCAAAAATATACTATGAGTACAACTGACACCATGTACTCAATAAGTAACAAACCTAACCTTAGGTTGAAAGTAGTGACGAGCTTGGACAAAGGTCAGAGTCCAACACCAACAACCAGGAACAACTCATAATAATATATCTAAAGCAGTACAAGTAATAACTCAAAGATATAATACTCAACTCGTTCATAGTTCCGGAAAATAGGCATGCTTTTCAAGTATAACAATAAAACCCAAATCTTTCACCGAAATCACCAAAATATGATTAAATCTGAACACAACTGTGACTTTTTCCAAAAACTTTCAACAACAGGTAAGATGTTTCATTGTCAGATGGCATGAGGAAAGTACACCTCTATACCTACATGTCAATGTGTATATTAAGTCATGAATGTCGGAATGTTGTACCGCATGAGGAAATGCATCTCAATGCCTACATGTCATGTATGTATGTCACTGTAATGCAACGCAGTGATAAAACCATATGCACACTCAGTCCTCACAGTCACTCAGTCCTCAAAGGAAAAGGCATATATGGTTTTCAACTTAAGGTATATACAAATTTCAAAGGGTGATTTCCTACTTTCCGATCACAAACAAATTACATCTTTTCTCTTTCAAAGTATATACACAACCTTCTCAAAATAGTGAATTTTCAAATAAGGTTTAGAATATTTTCATAGAGTTTACTTATCAACTTTAAACACTAACTAAGCAGAATATAGACTTTTCTTTCCCCAAACCTAACCTAAGTTTAAGGAGCCACCTCAGGTGAATTTTAAGGGATGCCCAGTGCCTTTCCTTTAGAACAACTAGAACCCTTACCCAAATCACACTGGTTAGCAGACCATTAGGATAATAATATCATAGACTTATAGGCACCCTAATATACCTTAAAATATTAGGTGGAGATTTTTTTATCAACTTCAAAAGAACCATTAGTTGTATTGTATTTTGACTATTGCAAAATAAGGTGCAATAACATGGCGACTCTGCTGGAGATTTTTGTTGGTTCTGACCTTAGCGGACTTAGGATAGAATTGAACCTGGGGGTGTCTTGTTATATTCTGCTTTGATTATATTTGATATGCAAATATGTGTTTACTCGCTTTATTCTACTTGTTTACACTTTACAACATGTTTACCTATTTATTTATATTACTACCTTACTACAATTATCTGTTATTGCTTTATACATATTTCCTATCAAGTCTTGGCCGTACACAATCGCACACAATGACACGCGAGGGTTGTTTTTACACCCATCAGAACTTTATTTCAAAACTCTCTAGTTTCAGAGAATGACTTTGTCAGGCCAACTGATATAACGACTCGCAATTATTCTATCCAACTCCAAAATTAGGAAACACTCTACTCTTAGCAAACATAGGTCATTCTGCATAAACCTTAGGTGGCTCGATCCTTGGTATTGACTCATGACTAGGAAATCCACCTTAATATCAACAACTCATGCACCCAACAATATATTTTTTTGTGGAACTACGAATCAATCCAGATAAGACGCTAAGGATCCAGAGCAAAATTCTTACCAAATCTTTTACCCTTTTAGATGGAAATCAACCGCAATGTCCCAGAGATTAACATCGCCATGGGTGCATCTCACAAATTGAAGCAGTTGTGGAGGAAAATTCAACGAGAGCACGAGAACGAGATCAGGACACACCTAGGATCACTAACCGCCCCGATGAACATTTGAGCTGACAAGGTACTCACCAGGTTGCTGATAGAGTTTTGGGACCCAACCAAGGCGGTATTCAAATTTTTCGATTGTGAGTTGCGCCAACACTGGAGGATATTACTAGTTTCACGGAGTTATCATTCACCAGGCGGAAGCCAATACTGCTAGTCGTCATGCCGGACCATAGGTTCTTCCATGCACTAGGTCTGACGAGTAACAGGAAATTGTGAAACATCAAGGATGGATGGGTGAGTTTAGACCATCTATTTGATAGATTTGGACACCGGGATAGCTATGAGTGGCATCTTGAGGAATTCTAGTGTGATCAAGCGGCATGGGAGAGCTTTCGCCCCATAACCTTTTCTCTAGCACTATTGGGACTCCTGGTTTTCCCACAAAGGAAAGGGAGAACCAACATTAACCTATTGCCTTTGGTTTAGGCTACCTTTCGAGGAAATCTGCAGGTCACCCTTGTTCCTATGATACTGACGGAAATATTTCGAGCACTGTCGGCATGTTCAAGAGGATATGATTTCTTCAGAGGTTGCTACTTTCTAGTACATATATGGGCTACAGGGCATTTCTTCCAGAGGGAGGTGACCATTGACTACTTTATCGGCATTAGTAACATGATCCACAACCATAATGAAAGGACGAGGCATTGGTCTACACCACGTGGCCAGGAGGAGTGGCAGGAACTTTTGACCCATTTGAGTGGAGAATTCATCAAATGGAAACTTTCTTGGTTGAATGGTAGAGCAATCATGAGAATCTCGGGGAAGTACTTCATTGAGTTGCTAGGTCTGGAGGGGATTCAGCTGTACACACCACTGAGGGTTCTTAGGCAGTTTAGTCTGATTCAAGATGTGTCTCTCTATTCAAGGACAACTTTGTACAAGGATGATTACAACAGGTATATTTGATCCTGAGGGTAAGGAATCTCCAGGACGAGTGGAATGACTTGATCACAATGGGAATGTGGCAAAATCCCTGGTGCATGCTGTTGACGACCAATTTTTTTTTCGCAAATATACCACTAGGCAGTATTCCTAGTGGCTAATATATATATAAAATCCCAAAATGGGTCTACATCTTACAATAAGTCCAAAAAAATATAAAATATTAAAGCTACTACTAGCTAATACTCCGAATAGGAAAGGTAACACAAATGAACTAGATATTACAGAGTAGCAGGATGTAAGCATTCGTATCGAAGTAGTGGTGTTGAATTCAAAGGCCAAGGGAAAAAACCAAGTAGCACCTCCAATGCTCTCACCAGGCACCATGTTCTTCATTCCATATGACAAATTAATGGACAAGGCTAATGTTGGTTCCAAACAAATATACCACTTTGTTGAAGCTATCCAGAACTGCACAGTACATGTGTTGATCCATCTCGAACTTCTTGTAAATTTGTAGAACATGATCTACTTGCTTATCCAAAATAGGTTGTATACTTTGTTATCATCTTCAAGCTTTGTGTGATAGCACACTAATATCACTGGAAAATGTTCATACAGTACACATCATGATAGTGAAAATAGCAGCAACATTTGGTTATTTCTGGTGTTGTCCTGTGTTTTTCTGCACTGTCTGCTTTGCTTATCAGTTCTGACTGTTGATAAATTACCCCCACGATGATCATGGAAACATGCTAATACCAGTTGGAAGCCCTGTAACAACATCCAGAAACAACCAAAACAGAAACATTTGGCAAGATCAGTCAATGCATTCGTAGTAGTGATCATCAATCGGGTTCTTTTCTCTTGGCAATCCTAATCCTAAGGTTAGGTACTTGTGATTTGTCCATGTTTATTAATATTTTTCCTTCAACTGGTAGTTCATGAAATGATTGAAATCTGAGCGTACCTGCAAAAGAGAAAACTAGGTTAGCTAAGAAGTCAGCAACAATGTTGCCTTCCCTTAGTACATGCCGAAAGAGCACATTGTAGGTGCTCTTTATTTCCTTAATCTTCCTCACTTCAAATCCTATGCACCATGGAGTTTCCCATTCCTCATCAATTATCT